ATTCGGGAGTGTGTCCTAGAAGTGGCATCCTGGAATTATATAGAAGGCCCCAAAAGATTCCAAAATGTTCTGTAAGCATCTGGAATATTATGGAGAGTCCTAGCGGGTTGTCCCCTTGGCTGGCCCAAGGGGTAGGGCCCCATGGGCTTTAAGAAGACCTATAGTTGGGCGCCTCAATTACCATTGGGGGACAAGGCTCCACCCTAGAGTAGTCCTAGCTTGGGCTCCATCTATGGTTCACCGTACCAAAGGGGAGGAGGATTCCTCCCCAAGTTGGTTCTGTTGGAAATGTAGTGAAAAAAATATTATCACCTACGATCACCCAAGATCAATATGAAAATGCATTACGGGTTGGGATCACGATCGTTACCGTCACCGAGTTGCAGCAGAAGAAGAACGTGTTGGTGTAGATCATACTTGGAGTCCCTCGAACCGTCGATGAACGATCCCTCATACCGCCTAGAAACAGTCCCTCGAATCGAAGACGAAAACATGGTCTCTCTACTTGGTTGCAAGCGTGTAGCCTTCACAATCTGGCAACGCTTCGCCGTCAAGAGCTAATCATCACCGAAGAATTAAAGGGGGGAGATTAGAACCACACTAGGCTTCTAATTATGAGGACAAGAGGATTAACCAAGCGTTAATTGGGCAACTAGAACATGAACTAGAAGAACTAGAGGAGACTCGAAACACTGTGTATGCAATAGAGTAAAAAACCCTAATATATATAGGTTGGAGGAGGAGGAGGAGAGGGCAGCCACCAAGGGGGGAAAGTCCCCCTTGGTGAGCCGGCCAAGGGAGAGGGGGGAATAGGACCCCTCCCCAAGCCCAATGCGGCCGATGACGTACCACCAGAAGCAAGAAGCGCTTTATTATTACTAGTACAAATGCCCGTGCGTTGCAACGGGTGGAAAAATTGGAAAAACCCTACTTCACATGTCACTACGCTTCACTTATTTGGATTATAAAGTGTTCATGTGAGAAGTCACCCTAACGTCTTTCATTGACGCATGCTTAAGCTCTGCACTTCTAACAAAGGAAAGAGTAGTGATGCATGGAATAGTTTTTTTAGAAGAAACATACAATCTGAGTCTTACAGATGCATGGGATAGTCTTTTAGCGGGAGAAACATACATGTGATTTTTAGGGCATCTTCAACGTTGACCTGCAAAAAGGACACCACATCCGTCCGCATGTGGCCGGGGAGGGGGGCGGGGGGCAGCACACGGACACTGGTGCAGAAGACAACCATCCAAAGCTATCCGCATATGTCCGGTTGCATTTCGGAAGAAATTTAACGAAAGTCAACAAATTTGATGGATATTAAAACAAACCGGATGATATTCATTCGTACTTGAATAATTTTTAGACAAAACCAGATGCTTTTCATATAGACCGGAGCAAACTAATTACATTTCGACATATTTGAACTAAATCGTACTCTAAACCTAGTCTAAATGTCCGCCAACACCCGTTTGCCCATTTCCGGCCGACCATGAGCCCTGGGAACTGAAAACTCCACCTCCGCCTCCACAGCCTACAAGCGGCTAATTGGCCAACGATTTTGAGCCCGTCAAGCTTGGCTTCAGCTGGAGCTAAAGGGCAGTGGCCTTCCTGGTGTCCGAGCACCGGTGAACTCCCATGATATACTTTTCCTCGCCGTCGCCAGCGCCCTTGGACGTGCCGGCTTCGTGGTCGTGGCGGCGAGGCGCGGGCGTGGCGGGGCTAGCAACGTCTTCCTCGTCCTCGCTCTTTCCATAGACTTCGTCGTCCGCCTCACCGATCTCCTTGAAGACCGCTTCTATCTCCGACTGATGCTGGCGGTACCACCAATGGCCGCGGCGGAATTTGTAGGCCGTGCGATAGGAGTCGACCATCGCCTTCTCCTCCGCCTGGTCCATGTCTGGCGCTCCGTGCCGGTGGCAAGTTGCTCCATCGCGCACCAAAGCTCATTGAGGAGGTGGAGGTTGTACTCCTGGCCGGCTTGAGCCCGTCGGAACAAGGCCTCCTACACGGGCATGTCGGCATGGACCGGCGAGGAGGGTGGCGTCGCCCGTCATCGGTCACATCTTCCATTGGGATGTCCGCAGCGCCGACCGCCGTCTGCCTGGCGGCCTGCAAACCGGCAGCAATGGCGGCATCTCAGTCTTTTGGTCGGACGAGAGGTTGTCCCAGATGGCTTTGGAGCTCAAGGAGGCCATGATGGTCGTGGTGCGGTGAGGAGGAGGATTGATGCGTCTATGACTGGGGTTGGAGTTTAAATAGTCGGTGCATGACAGGGCAAGCGACGAGGTGGTTAATGGCTGGTAGTAGACGAACGAACCTGTGGCGCCGGAGTAGGTTCTTCGACAACCGCGCATGTTTACTGTAGGGAGGCGGAATGATGAGTTCTCATTTGAACGTGGAGTTGCAGTGTGCACCGGGAAATAGCGTGGGCTGCATTCTCTTCCGGCGCCGCTTCAATGCCAAAGGGCCATTGAGAGGTCGCGTCGCTCTGAGCCGGCATGAATGCAAGATTGATGCTTTGGAGCGGCGCTGGCCACTTCGGGTGGGAGGGACATGGGCAAAGGAGGATTTTTTGGATGGGCCATGGCAGATAGAATCAAGCGTGACAGCGGTTCGGATGCCCGCAAAGCCCCCAATTTGTTTTCGGATTGCGGGAGAAAGTAAGTCCGGACCGGTCGACAGACCGATATAGACCCGCATTGAATGGCAAAACACGTCTAGACCATGAGGTCCGGACGGTTGTGGTCGTTTCGAGGCTCGGTGTTGAAGATGCCCTTACATACTCTTCGAGAGTTTAATAATTCATTTAAAATATTTTATCAAATTATCAAAAGATTTGAATTCTAATGATTTTGATCATGTAGTTTTTTAATGGAAGGTTTGTTTGATTTGGAAGATTAAATGTTGGCCCAAGCGCAAGAAATACTATAATCCCCTCGCAAAAATTAGAAAAAGAAATACTATAACCGGCTGACAAAACAATGTTGGGGGCTTGGGGCCTACTGACCGGCACGTAACACCCATCAGACCATCAACGTGTACCTCCACCGCTAGCTAGCTTATCCTTATCCATTCGTCTGTGTCCACCGAGAAGCATCTGCATCCATCTTCTTTCTCTCGCTCCATCTCTCTTTCTCATTCCGGTGCTTCCACCGATATTCTTAGACCAAGCAGCCAGCGGGATTAGCCGCGCTGTGAGCTGGCTGCCCAGGCGAGGTTCGTTCCCAGGTTGCCGGCGTGTGTCAATCGTGTGAGGCGGGCCCAGATGTGAAGCCTCCACACCCAAAGTTGTTGGCTTCCCCCGTTCCACCGGAGCGAGCGCGAGCATCGCCGCCGGATCTGCCAATAGTGTCACACAGGCGCAGATGTGAAGCCTCCACCAAAGTTGCTGGCGCCCCACGTTCCACCGGAGCGAGCGCCGCCGCTAGATCCCTCGTCCCTCTCCCCTCCTCTGTGTGTGTCTCTTATTTCCTTTGCTCTACTCCGATGCCCGGCCTTGTGTCGTTGCCTTGCTTTGGTCCTTACACCTGCAACGGCCGTTTGCCGCGACTGACTTGGACGTCCGACGCCGCCGGCGACGGCCTCGTGGCTCTGGTAGGCGCCAAGCCACGCCTCGGCCTCTCCTCCAGCCTCATCTCGCGCCCGCCAAGCCATGCCTGGCCCTCTCCTCCAGTCTCCTCTCGTGCCCGTGTGGATCTCGCGAGCCAGCCCCGTCCGCCTTCGGCCGATGTCAGCAAGCAGAGCTGTCGTCCGTGCGCTCAAGCTGGCTCAGACCGCTGCCTCCTTAGCTTGGCCACACCAGCCGCCCCTCTGAACTTCCCCGTCGGTCTTCGCCTCCTGCACGAGCCCCCGTCGTCCGTGCGCTCCGGCAGCTCCCCGTCGCGCCCGAGACCGCCTCGAATCTTCCTACCGAGGCCTCCGCTGCGACCAGCCTTTAACATGGGTCGACGCTGGCGGCAAGCGGCGGCGCGTGCCCGGCGGTGAAGAACGGCAGGATAAGCGTACGCGCGGTGGTGAGCCAGTCCAATAAGAGATAAGGGTCGCGTGCATAATTTCCAACAAATGCAGTGGTTTTTACGTAAAAACGAAACGTTTTCCAGAGTGCCACTTAAATAGGGAGTGCGGGTTGATTTCAAAGAAATAAAAGGACTTTTTCGCAAAAATGTCGATGACGTACGACCAGAAGCAGTAATAATCGCTTTATTATTATTAGGGGAGATTATACCGGTAGCATGGGAGGTAATTATTGACAACTTCGGGGCAAATCTTATAACATACCGCCAAAAGCACTATTTGCTTTATTATTAGGGATAGATAATCATAGATTAGGGAAAGACAGCAACCAATGGCTCAAACATGACCTCACGGGCTTTTGTTGCACTTGCACTTGCACAGTCGGCCTACGTCAAAATCGCGTAACCATTTTCCGTGAGCACGACGGGAGGTTGGCCAACACGTCCCTTGCATGCGACGACTCAAGAATCCCGCACGCTTCGTACTGCTTCCTCTTTTGGCCGGAAATCGCATGGGCACGTCGGATCCGTGAGACGGCACCGTACGTGCACGGTCCAGCCACCCACACCCTTCCTTCCATCGAATTCAAGCACGCACGCCCGAAGAGGGGAAAGCGAGAGGCAGTCGGCACGCACGCCCGAAGCTCCTTCTCGTTCATTCACAACGCACCGGGTCGCACTCGTACGTCCCCATGGCACGCCACCCAAAACGCCAAGGCGGACACGCCGACCCGGCGTGCCGTCAGAGGCTGCTCTGCTAAATCTGGGGTGGAGGGGACGCACCGAGGCGCGGCCGCCTCGCCGAGATCGACGGGCCGACGCAACCCAGGCCGAGCGAGCGAGGGAAGCGATACAACCAACCACAAGCAGCGGGCGCGTCGTCGCGTTCGCGTGCGGCGAATATTCGGACGGGGCGGCATAACACCCGGGCCGAACGGGTCGCGCTCTCTCTCCGGCGGTCTTCTCCCCGGCCCTCTGGCGATGGCGACGGCGGCGGCGGTGTGGGAGGAGGAGGCGGAGGTGGAGAGGCCGATGCTGGAGGACGAGAGGAAGGGGAAGCAGGGCAAGGGGCGGCGCTACGGCCTGGTCGACTACCGGGCGCTGCCGGCCTACATGCGGGACAACGAGTACATCCTGCGCTACTACCGCTGCGAGTGGCCGCTCCCGCAGGTGCTCCTCTCCGTCTTCTCCATCCACAACGAGACCCTCAACGTCTGGACGTGCGTACTCTTGCTCATCCCCCCATCTTATTTTTCAATCCAATTGTTTTCCTTAGGCTAGTTTTTATTATACCGTGCGGACATGTATGGAACAGCGGATTAATCCCCTAACATATTGTGTGCTTCTAGTTTGAAAATTGGAACGATGTATCTGGTGCTTTACCTGCAAATTTTTTTTTGGGTGTGCTTCTTAGTACGGTTTCTTTAGCCATGTAATTATGGCTTCATTAGCTATGTAATTATGACATGAAAAGGGAAGCTGTGTCCTGTTGATTTCCCATGTTACCATTTGATTTTTTATTCACTTAACCCTGGCTTGAAATGTGCTCAGTTCGACTTAAGTTTCAAATTAATTCCGGAGTAAGAAAAGGCCTAAACAAATTCAGCACTGAGAATGCATTGTGGCACAACTCTGAATTTTGAAGCATTTGTTGTGGCCCTTGCTTGTTCATTGCCAAGCAAGATGAGACAACAACCAACTTAATTTTTAAATTTTATCAAGACCACTGCCCACCAACTAATTAAAGAAGTCCCTTTCAATTTCAATAGGTCACACATTTAATTGAACCATGGACTTCAAATGTGTCTTTTCTAGTCTTTGTTGCTTGCCTATCTTATCAAGTAGAAAGGAAACCAAACGATTTGACCGCCATTATGTAACACTGAGTTTGGTTAACCACTAACCTCTTCTGCGAGCTATGTGCTGTAAATGGTGAAGTATGAATACTAGGAAATTAGGACTACAAACTTCTGGGTGATATTACCTTTTGTTATTTTGCCGATGTGGAGAGAATTTGGTGGTGTGTCCTTTCATACTAGGGTTCAATCCTGTCAGGACTGAACATGGTATCTCACGGTCGTTTCTACCTTAATAAAATTTCACAGGGCCCCTCCCCTGTTCGTTTTATTTATTTATTTTGCCGATATGATTTAGCAGAATTATGAATTTGCTAGATTATCTCTGATCTAATAAAGCTATTTCTTTGTGTCCACTTCAGGCACTTGATTGGATTCTTCATCTTCCTTTCTTTGACCATATACACTGCAACAAAAGTTCCAAATGTGGATCTTCATAGCCTGCAGAATTTACCTGACATACTTAGGAATGCTGATCTTCATAAGATTCAGGCAGAGCTTGCGGCATGCCTTCCTTCATTACCTCACTTTTCTGATCTACAAAAGATGAAGGATGAATTGAGAAGCTCATGGAATTCTATCGATGTGCTTCCGTCATTATCTCGTTGGCGTCTCTTGGAATTACTCTCAAATTGCTTGCCGGACAGATTTACCCATTCCAATGAAACTAATCTTTCTGTTCTTGTAAGTAGTCAACAACTTATCTAGTGCTTTTTTTACTCACTATCGCTGTGCTTTATTTAAGGGTTCAAAACTTCAGAAATGCAGTGCTAACCTCCTTACAACAGTTAATAGGAAAATCTTACGAGTTGGACTATCAAATTCAAGCTGTTTAGTTACCTAGTTTCTTCTAGCTATGTCCACTGTGAGTAATTCTGTCTGACTTCTGACTAAATTAAGACAGTTTGATGCTTGGCCAAGATTTGACTTCTAGATAGTTATCAGTTAGAATATAATCCTCGAAGTCTACTCAACATAGCCGGTCCCAAGCCCGGGTAAAGGAGGAAGTTGTGATAGGCTTGGCAAGCCAACATCAAAACTCAGCCACTCCTATGGAGATGAAACCCAAAAGAATTTCGTTGGGGATCACCAAAGAATTAGCCATGGACAGGGGTGCGTGGAAGCTTGCTATCCATGTGCCAGAACCATGAGTTGGTCGCGAGATCTTATGGGTTTCACCTCTAGCCTACCCCAACTTGTTTGGGACTAAAGGCTTTGTTGTTGTTGTTGTTGTTGTTGTGGAAGTCTAATAGTTCCCGGTAGGTTACCGGAAAAATCTGTAGCATCAAAACCAGCTTATGAGATGCAGAACCTTTGTTTAGTACTCCCTCCGTCCGAAAATACTTGTCGCAAAAATGCATAAAAATGAATGTATCTAGAACTAAAATACATCTAGATACATGCATTTCTCCGACAAGTATTTCCAGACGGAGGGAGTATGTACTTACCTCGAAGTTTATTTTAGGCGTACGTAAGGCTTTACTGTTGTTGGTACACACACAGTCTATACAGAGTACATATAACAATAATATGGTTCAATTCGATATCTTTGCACTGTTTTGGGGTCTCTTTTAAGAAAAAGGGGCATTGCAAGGGTCCGGTGAAGGGTCCGACCACTGTAGGAGCATTGCAAGGGCCTTTTTATTTATATTCCATTGAATTCATCCAATCCTCATTAACTTCTGTGCAGATCAACATTCGCATTGCATCGCTCATGTAAACCAGTCTTTTTAACCTGTGTGTTGACAACTTGTCACATAACAAGGATATAACAAGGATTGTTTTCATCTGTGCAGGAAAGCATGAAGGAGGATATTGTAACCGTAATTGCACCACACTTTATTAGGCCGATCTCTAGGTGGCCATTCTTTGCCTTCTTGGGAGGAGCCATGTTTTGCCTTCTTGCCAGCAGCACATGCCACCTTCTGTCCTGCCACTCTCGCCGCCTTGCATATATCATGCTTCGGCTTGACTATGCGGGCATTGCAGCTCTTATCGCCACTTCTTTCTACCCTCCAGTATACTACTCTTTCATGTGTCATCCTTTCTTTTGCAACCTGTACCTCAGCTTTATAACTATTCTAGGATTAGCAACTATCGCGTTCTCTCTGCTCCCGGTCTTCCAGAACCCGGAATTCCGAACTATACGAGCGTGCCTCTTCTTTGGCATGGGAGCATCAGGTGTGATCCCTGTTTTTCACAAGTTGATCCTTTTTTGGCACCAACCAGAAGCATTGATCACTACCGGATATGAAATTTTGATGGGGCTGTTCTACGGAGTTGGAGCATTGGTGTACGCGACTCGGGTGCCTGAACGCTGGATGCCTGGGAAGTTTGACATTGCTGGGCACAGCCACCAGCTCTTCCATGTCTTGGTTGTTGCTGGAGCCTACACCCACTACCATGCAGGGCTGTTGTACCTCAAGTGGAGAGATCAGCAGGGCTGCTAAAAGTTGTTCTATTGTTACAGGGTGTGGATAGATTTATTTGGTTATATGGTTGTGTGTCAATGATCAATAGAGGACCTGTTGAATCTGGGTAAAGAATTTACTGATCCGTGTAAAGTGTATACTAGGTACAATAAACAAGTAAAATTAAGGAGATTATATATCTTTTTTTACCGGCAGGCGATTATATTCAGCAACCTTCATGAAAGGTTGATACTTATGTTATTGTCTTGGTGATGGAATCTGGGTAGCAATTGATTGCAGTTGCTGTTCACAGCAGTGCACATCAGCTACGACCCACGAGACAATTCTTTTGCGGAAGAAGCATCGCCAAGCGTCTGAATTGATGTAATTTGACAGGCTGAGATCGATGGCACCGGCTGAATTGTTCTCCTTTTTTGGTACTAATAATACTAGTAAGGTACACGTGCATTGCACGCATGACATTCTGGTGGTTTGTGCATTATGCTTCTACATGTGGAGTTTTCTGGATTCTATCATGTGGCAAAATTTAGTGGAATGTAAGGTTAGGCAAGTTTGATTAACTTAGGTGAGTGTTTGGTTTAAGTCACACCTTAGGCAAGCCACACTAAGGCCCCACATGACATACGCACAAAAAATGTGGCAAGATTCCCTTAGGCTTGCCAACTTGTGGCTCTCATTTTGAAGAACTAATAACTTTTCCTAAGCTTAGTTGTGGCAAAGTTAGTCATGAATTAAGGGCTGTTTGGTTCCTAGCCACACCTTGCCACACTTTGCCACACCTAATCTTAGGCAAGTTTGACCAAATTAGGTAGGTGTTTGGTTCAACTAAGGCAAGTGTGGCATTTTGAAGTACTAATAACTTTGCCTAAGCTTAGTTGTGGCAAAGTTAGTCATGAATTAAGGGCTGTTTGGTTCCTAGCCACACCTTGCCACACTTTGCCACACCTAACCTTAGGCAAGTTTGGCCAAGTTAGGTAGATGTTTGGTTCTAGCCACACCTAAAGCAAGGATTTGTTTTTATGAGCAGTGAGCCCCACATGTCATAGACATAAAAAGTGTGGCAAGATTCCCTTAGGCAAGCTAAAGTGTGGCTAACAATTTGAGCAACTCAACTAAGGCAAGTGTGGCAAAACTCATGTGGAATCCAAACAACCCCTAAATTCAACCATGGAGTCTTCTAGATTATACATGTGGCAGAATCTAGTGGATGATATCCAACGACCAGTAGTGCTCGGATTTGCCATTTTTATACCATCGGATTGGCTTCATCCAACGAGCAGCATTCAAAGTTTTTCACAACTATATAGGGGGTATAGAATACAGCACCGCCCCTGTTGTTGGTGGCTCATGCCTCTGCTCTGTCGCAAAATATCGCTCACATGGATCTTTCTAGGCTCGTCGCCGTGGCCGTGCTCCTCGGCGCCTTGCGGCCGCTCCGGAGCTACTGCGCCGGCGACGTCAAGAGCCTGCACCCGGTCGTGCTCGTGCCGGGGTACGGCTCCAACCTGCTCGAGGCGCAGCTGACGGCGGCGTACGACCCGCCGGCGCCCGGCTGCGGCGCGCGTAAGGGGAAGGGGTGGTTCCGGCTGTGGCCGATCAACCAGACGGCGATGCAGGACCCCCGCCAGGTCCCGTGCTTCGTGGACCAGATGAGCCTCGTCTACGACGCCGTCGCCGACGACTACGGCAACGTCGCCGGCGTCGTGACCCGGGTCCCGTTCTTCGGCTCCACGCGCGGCTTAATTGGGTGAGCCTGACCTCCCAACCACTCGATCGTTTCAGTCTCTGCTTTCCTCGTCGTCCACAAGTCTGAATGTGTGATACAGTGTTTTGGTGACGATCTGGCTTGCTGGACTGACAGGTGGGACCCGCTGCTGCGGGAGCTGGAGGCCGCGGGCTACCGCGACGGCGAGAGCCTCTTCGCCGTGCCGTACGACTTCCGCTACTCCGTCGCGCCGCGCGGCCACCCGTCCGCGGAGGGCGCCTGCAACTTCGACGAGTTCACGCGCCTCGTCGAAAGGGCGAGCTCGCTCAACCAGGGACGTCCGGTCGTCGTCGTCGCGCACAGCTTCGGCTGCGCGCTCGCGTACCAGTTCCTCCTCGGCCGCCCGCTCGCCTGGCGCCGGCGCTTCGTCAAGCGCGTCGTCCTCGTCGCCTCCGCGCTCGGCGGCTTCTCGGAGGGGATGAACGACCTGGCCGCCGGCACGGACTACGGCCTGCCGAACGTCGCGCGGCCGTCGAGGGTCCGGCTGGCGCGGAGCCAGCAGAGCGCGCTCTGGCGCCTGCCCACGCCGACGGTGTTCGGGGACCGGCCGCTGGTGGTGACCAAGAACGTGACGTACACTGCACACAATATTGCTGAGTTCTTCGAGGCCGTCGGCTTCCCGGAAGGGGTCCGGCCGTACGTGACGCGGGTGCTGCCAGCATGGGAGGCGCTCCCGGCGCCGATGGTGCCGGTGACCAGCGTCATCGGGGTCGGCGTCAGCACGCCGGAGACGTTCGTGTACGGGGAAGACGGCTTCACGGGGAACCCGGAGGTGGTGTACGGCGACGGCGATGGCGACATAAACATGGTGAGTCTGGTGGCCATCGAGAAGGAGTGGTCTAGCGTGGAAGGCCAGGTTCTGAAGGTGGTCAGGTTGCCTGGTTTTCGTCACGATGGCTTCTTCAACGTTTGTTTCGCTCTGAAAAAAGTGGTTGCTGAAATACTCGAGGCTGGTGGAACTATAGAACTCCATCAGAAGATTGGCCGAGTGCAGATCGATGCAGGTTCCGTCAGGACGGAAGATAGACGTATAGTGCACGAAGGCCTTTATAATGCTTTGAGTAATGCGTTTTTAGAGGTGCTCTGAGTTTGAGTAACGTTAATAATGAGAAGTAAGATAATTTGAAAACGAACCAGGATCATGATTTCATAGACCTCGGATAAAACTTTCAAATGATAAGTGTCACACGTATAGCACGAAGCACACCAGTCTTGGCGTTTTGTACAACTAAAGTTGCCATTCGAAAAAAAGAACAAACCTAAAAAATAAACGGAAGTATGGAAGTTGCCATCCTCGCATGACTAAACTTGACATAAAAAGCGTTTGAAGCTGCCATATGTTCGTGCCACACTTGTGGCATTTATCAGGATCCTAGGACGTGACTATCACGCTGACATTTAATCCATGAGAGAAGAGCTAACAAACTGTTTAGTTCGCTACGAGACTCCCCTGTTTTTGGCCCCAAAACTACTCCTGACTCTCCCAATAAATATAGAATAATAAAAAAGGCATAAAAATGCACCGGACCAATAAAAACACACCTGAAAATGAAAATATATGTTGCAGCTGCTAGGCGCCATCCGGATGCATCCAGCGGAAAAACATTCGCCTAGTCAGCCATTGGATGCATGCAATTGTGGTCGTCTGTTCGTGCTCCCACACCAACGACCCAGTCATCGTCTTCCATATCGGAGCACGGGCCTCCACAAGCAGCTCACACAACATGATAGCATCCCGACGGCACCAGATCGGAGCACCGCCAGAGTGTCGCCGCTTGGTTTGCAGCAACGGCCTAGCAGCACGGCGGCACCGTCGCAGCACCACCCCGCAGCACGGCGTCGCCATCGCAACATTGTCCGAGTAGCCGAGTCGCCGTCCAAGCACCGCCTCGCAGCACGGCCTCACTGTTGCAACATCACCGGAGCAGCTCGAGCCGCCGTCGCAGCAGTTGAGCCATCGTCGCAGCAGTTGAGCCATCGTCGCAGCATTGGTTCACAGCGCGGCAGCGGCGTCCCAGCATCGCCGGAGCATCCCCGAGCCGTCGTCGCAGCACGGCGTCACCGTCGCAACATCGTCGGAGCAGCTCGAGCCGCCACCATAGCATCGTCGGAGCAGCGAGCCGCCGTCGCAGCATGGCATCGTCAGAGCAACTCGAGCCACCGTCACAGCACTTGAGTCACCGTCGGAGCACTGGTTCGCGGCACGCCGGTGCCGCCACAGCATCACCGGAGCAACTGCAAGCTGCCGTCGCAGCACGGCGTCACCGGAGCAGCCCCAACATCATTGGGTTGCCTCCCCAAGAAGCGCTATTGTTTTACGCCCTTAACTAGGTGTAATGCATTGCTTCAAGTATTGTCATCTTCGAAATTAATTCCATAGGCAGCTCTAATAATATATTCATGCGATGGTTTAGTTGTCTTCCTTGAGAAGTGTTCCGTCCCTTTCTTTAATGGAAACTGGAACCTTATATTTGCCTCTTTCATGTTAATAATAGCGCCTATGGTTCGTAGGAAAGGCATACCAAGTATTATAGGACAAGACAAATTGCATTCAATATTAACCCCATTCCGTAGTAAATCCATGTTCTCGTTTTTAAACTCGAGAAGAAACCATGTTATGTTGTTGCCCTTATAGATGTTAACATTGATGTCTGGTAACAAAATTCATAATGCGTTGGGCTCTCATAAATGACCGACTACCAAATCAAACCCCGAGGATCGTTACAATTTCAAGCACATCAAGTTGCTTAAATATGTCCAATGTTTTAGTCATTACCTTTGCACATTATCTCTCAACAAATTACAACGTGCCAAAAAGGAAAAAAAATAACGTAAGAACACATTCGATCATCAACTCGGAGTGTGTGAAATTGCTTTGATTCTCATCGCCAGTTCCATATGGGTGCTGCTGATCGTGTCAGCGGCTGACCAGTGGGCTCTGCCGCCCTGCAACGCCGCCTGCCTGCGCGCCTCGCCGAACCACGATGCGCAGACCACCGAGCTCCCCGTCAGGTCGAGGAGAAGGTGAAACAAAGGCTATGATCACCAAAGCAATGAAAACCAAGGCTTACGAAGACCAAAATTCTGATACCACTTGTAGGATTGAAAGTATATCTAGAGGGGGGGGGGGGTGATTAGACTACTGAACAAAATAAAACCTAACATTTTACCAATTTTAGTTGTAGGTAGATTTTAGCAATTATGACAAGTCAAGTAACACCCTACACATGCAAGTCTAAGAGTATAGCAGCAAAATGTAAGACATAGCACACATAAGTAAAGGGAAGGGTTTGGAGAAGGCAAACACAATGGGGACACAAAGTTTTTTGGCGTGGTTCCGATAGTTGGTGCTACTATACGTCTACGTTCATGGAGACTTCAACCCACAAAGGGTAACAGTTGCGCGAGTCAATGGAGGGCTCCACCCACGAAGGATCCACGAAGAAGCAACCTTATCTATCCCATCATAGCCATCGCCCATAAAGGACTTGCCTCACTCAGGTAGATCTTCATGAAGTAGGCGATCTCCTTGCCCTTACAAACTTCTAGGTTCAATTCCACATCATGTCGGAGGCTCCCAAGCGACACCTAACCAATCTAGGAGACACCACTCTCCAAAAGATAATAGATGGTGTGTTGATGATGAACTCCTTGCTCTTGTGCTTCAAATGATGGTCTCTTCAACACTCAACTCTCTCACAAAGATTTGGCTATGGTGGAAGAAGAATTTGAGTGGAAAGCAACTTGGGGAAGGCTAGAAATCAAGGTTCAAATGGTAGGAATGAAATATCTTGATCTCAACATATGAGTAGGTGGTTCTCTCTTAGAAAATGAATGGTGGAAGTGTAAACACGTTCTGATGGCACTTCTATAGGAGGAAGGGGTGGAGGGGTATATATAGCCTCCAGACAAAATCCAACTGTTACATATTTTTGACCCAACTCGATGGCAACCATCAGAAATCTCGGTGGCACCGACCTGTGTAAAAACATGAACGTTAGGAATCTCGGTGGGACCGACGGGAATAACTCATAGGAGCCAATGTGCAAGGGCTTAGGGAAAACCTCGTCTCGGTGGCACCGATTGCATCATCTCGATGGGAGCAAAGTGAAGCAATAAGGCAACACAGAGTTGGCAAGCCATCTCGGTGGTACCGATTGCAATTTTCGGTGGGACCGAAAAAATTGCAACAAGCAACGGAGATCTGGTAAGGCCATCTCAGTGGGACCGGGATGCATATCGATTGATCCAATTTGTTAGGGTTTGGCAGTGGCCAAGTCCAGATGAACTCGGTGGCACTAGGTAGGAAATATCGATGGGGCTGAGTTGGAATGTAGGGTTTAGACATATTTGGATGGATAAAGTGGTTGGGAATTTTGGAGCAATATCACCAAGCACTTGAGCAAATAGATCATTAAGCAACACCTTATCCCCTTTTAATAGTATTGGCTTTCTTATAGACTCAATGTGCACTTCGTCTCTTAACCAAAAATTTAGAGTCCTGAGCTTTTGCCAATCCATTTCCTTAGTGAAAGTGCAACTAATCCCTGGGTGGTTTGGTAATTCATAACAACATATAGCTCATTGAACTAATATCCATTCAAGATGAATATTTCAGGAAGTTCAATTTATGGCATGGCATGGACTAGAAATGTGGACCTCCCAAAATGCTAAGGACTCATACCGGCAAAAGCTAAACACTCTTCATTTTTGTTTTAGTGATCCAAGATCACATTGAGTCCATAGGAAAGCCAATACTATTACAAGGGGATGAGGTGTTTCTTAATGGTTTGCTTGCTCAGATGCTTATGCCCGGATGGCCTTCGCCCGCGTGAATATGCAATGGGCGAAGATGAAGGCCACCGAAGTGGCGACAACAGGGCCGCCGAAGGGAAAAGATCACTGGAAGCCAGAGATATATTTTGTAGAGGTCCTAGAAGGGGCCCAAATAGTAGAGGTCCAGTGTTCGAAGGATGTTGTGTTTGAGTAAATGTATTCGGGTGGAAGATACTCTGTTATGAATCTGCGCTATAATTGCGCCCTTTGTGTTAATTTTATCCTCTTGTGTGGCCGTTTATTATTTATATTTCTGACGGTTGCCAGTCGTTGGCTACTGCCCCCTTGTAAATATTACATGGGTGTTCGTAAACGCATAGACGCACTTTATCCAACGTCTTGGTCCATAGAGGATGCATCCGCGAGGTGAACTAGGCAATTAGACTATGCGGCTTTAGTACCTTCACTTGGCCATAGCAGTCCATTGGTGGGGTTGAATATTAACCCCAGTTGCATTGAGTGGCAATCCGGATAATGGTGCCTTTGCAACGCGGCTGGTCGAGTCCCAGCCCCTCGTGTGACACGGCAAGAATCGCTAGCAATCTATAGTATAACACTAAGTCATCGGATCGCTGACCAGCTCTTGCTTATCACGACGGTTAGTTTTCGGCTTTCTCTACCGAGGTACTTGACCGGACGAGCCAGAAATACAATCGCAGTAGTTCTCCCTTTACTACTTTAGTCGAACTAGCGGAATGTAAGGTGGTAATCACAGGAGCCGGGTAACCCAACTATAGACCAAAGACATGATTCGGAACCGATGCATATAATGCAATATCCGGGACGCCGAAGAGTTCCCCATAGGTGTTCGGACTTTAGGATGTGCAAGGCCGAATATAGCCCCCGGGGCAAAGACCGGGCTAAAGCACGTATGTCAATCAGAAGTAAGGAGGGAGAACATTAAGTACCGAACAAAAGGTGGTGGTTATTTGCTTCTTTTATATCCTTATATAGACATGTTTAGACATATGATGCCATGAATAATGAGGTCATTTTACATGCCAAAAAATTTGCATAAGGGAAAGGTTTACACAGGGCCTAAAAGTAGTGGTTTGAAGATCCCTACAGTACCCTGCCGCACGTGTGCACCGTTTCTCCTTAGTAGTGGATCCTTTTAGAGGAAGATTAGATGGTCGTCTGTATAGAAGAGACAAAGGGACCAATGAGGGACCCTCGTGCCATCATGCGACTTTGAGGTTTTCGAAAGAACCTGCAGTGAAAGAGAAAGGAAAAAAAGAAGGGTATGTGAGG